CCTCCTCAACGTTACACTATCAGAGAATCGGTCTCCTTACAAACAACACATCAAGACTCACAATGAGTTTTTGCAACTTTTGCAACTTATTCTAAGAGCAACTTCAGCGGAGCGCCAGAGCCTCGGGCTGGGGGAGAGAAAAGAGAAAAGCTGTTTCCAGCGATGAGTCCAAGCTCAGGCAACACGTGGGTCCTACCAAGTCGGACTGGCCCGAAGGCCAATTTAGCTCGAGGTCCAAAACGAGGGTTGGTGATGATGTCATGTGATTTTTTTTTCTGTTGCCACGTGGCGTCGTCTAGGCTCTCCGATCTGATTTTTTCCTCCAATTCAACGGCAGCCAATTTTTTTGCAATAAAATACTGAAAAAAATTCGAAAAAAAAAATTTATAAAAAAAAAACCCAAAAATTAATGAATTTTTTTCTATAAATACCAGCCAATTTTTTTTAAAATTTATCTGAAATTTGAAATTGAAAATTTTATCCGATTATGAAATATGAATAGTATTGACACGTAGGAACCCGAAAATATTTTCCAAATTAATTATTGAGGTAAAAAAAAATTGTGAAAAAAAAACAAAAAAATGAATAGTAATTTCCCTTAGCCATGGCAACGGGTGGAAACACAAAATACTATTTTCAAGGGCAACTACTATTCACGTGAATAGTGGCTGCCCTAACTCCCCCCTTGCCATGGCTAAGAGCAAATGGGTGGAGTTACTCTAACTCACATCGAGTCAAAAATTAAGATGAGGTTGGGGGTTTGAGAAGATGTAGGTGTTTTTTGTCTCAGAATCCTTGAGACCCAAAGATTTTGAACAAAACAAGTTGGGCTTCACATTAGTTTAGCCCAATTGACAATTGTACTGGAAGGTCAACCATAGAGTCATTATAGTGAGGGCCTTAGATGATGCCTTATCTCTTAATTGTTATATCAAAATAACTAATTTGATCCAATAATTAAGAGGTAGGGCCTCATCTAATGACCTTAGATAAAACCAATTCTACGTCAACCATAACAAGCTCTTCATAATTTAGAACAAAATGACTTTTTTTGCAAATTTCTAACTTGGTTGCCCCAAGAAGTCTGGTAGATTGTTGGATTGAAAGATGGGGTAAACCGAATTTTAAAATATGGAAGGCTAGTTAAAAGGCCTTTCAATTTTGGGCCAGCTGAAATTGAGAGCCTGTTTGAAAGCCCAAATAGGACGCTGTTGTTTTCCTCCAGCCCGCCATCCTCAGATAATTTAATATTAGGGTTTCTTCATAAACCCTCACGTACGAACAGCCGAAGCTTGATTGTCGTAGCTCCTTTCTGATACAATGGGTACATTTCTCTCTCGCCCTAGCTTATTAAGTTCCATTTTCACATGGAATTTCATGGGTTTGTTCCAAGTTACAGAGACACTGATACTTCAGCCGAATCTCTGTTTTATATGTATTTGGTTTTAGCTTTCGATTGTATTAAACTTTTCACTTTCTTAAAATCTTTTTGAACTGTTGTACATGGCGTCCATTTTGGTTTGCCAAATCCCAGTAATGGCTTATGAGCATATGTATGTGTGACTGATGCTTAGCGTTGTGTTGTGTCCTACATTTTCTAGGTAACACACAACAATTCAAGGTTTAAATAGTTTTTGTGATGTGGTTTATGACTGAAGTTGGGTTTTGTATGATAGTATTTTGACTTAATGATTTAGGGTTTTTAGTTGCTTTATTTTGGTTCGATTGGTAATCGTTTCGTTGAAAAATTACAACATTGGGTGTTGTTTGAGACTGTGATGATATGTGGCATAAAATATGAACATGTATTTGATTTGAGAATGATCAATTATATAACAAGTGGTTTTGGTTTGTTTTGTTTTGGTGATAAATTATCAGGTGGTTACAAGTATCAGTCGGAGATATGGAGGAAGAAGCAATCCGATTTGATGAGGTTCGTCCAGAGGGTGCGCTGTTGGGAATATCGCCAGCATCCTTCAATTGTCCGAGTCACAAGACCCACCCGCCCTGACAAGGCTCGTCGTTTGGGTTACAAGGCCAAGCAGGTAACTCAATAATGATTTTCTAATTTCATGAGCAAGGTTAATTAATAGGCGTGTAGGCTGTCGACTTGCATTATTGCATATGCCTATGTTAACAGCCTTATTTGATGCATATCTAGATCAGGTCTATTATTTTCATGCCCTTGCTTATTGTTTCAGTGAGCATGCGTTTTCTTATGTTGTGCACCAGTATGTGTTGGTTAAGCAGCATTCTGATGCTTAAGCGTTCTTCCTTTTGTCCCGATCCGATACATTGCACTGTTTTGATCTACATCATATGTTTGGTTTTTGGACTCGTCATTTGTTGTCTGTTTTTATGCACCCTTTGTTGCCCCAGCCATGTTTAAATTAAATTAGTTGATGATCTTCTGGCTGATGATTCTAGTAAAATATGTTGCAGGGTTATGTTGTCTATCGTATCCGTGTAAGGCGTGGCGGTCGCAAGAGGCCTGTTGCCAAGGGCATTGTATATGGGAAGCCCACAAACCAAGGTGTGACACAGCTTAAGTTTCAGCGCAGCAAGAGGTCTGTTGCTGAGGAGCGCGCTGGGCGGAGATTGGGAGGCCTGAGGGTTCTCAATTCATACTGGATCAATGAGGTTTGTATCTCAGAATGTGATTTTGTTTCTCTTTCTTTTTGTGCTCTGCTGCTTGGTGTTGGTTTTGTTTCATGGTGTCTTATTCTGCCTTTGCAATCTGTGGATGTAGGATTCGACCTACAAGTACTTTGAGGTGATCCTGGTTGATGTTGCTCATAATGCTATCAGAAACGACCCAAGAATCAACTGGCTCTGCAACCCTGTTCACAAGCACAGGGAGCTTCGCGGGCTCACTTCTGCTGGGAAGAAATGCAGGGGATTGGGAGGAAAGGGACACTTGTACCACAAGGCACGACCTTCTCGCAGGGCAACTTGGAAGAGAAACAACACCCTCTCCCTTCCTCGCTACCGTTGATTTCATCATGCTAACTTGCCTATATTTTGAGGAAATAAATTTCTGGGTACTTTCAGGAAGACAAAATGTTCGTTTGGAAGGCAATATCAATATCTTTTCTTTTTATTATTCAGAATTTTGTTAGTGAATCAAGAGAGATTATGTTCAAAAGCGCACCATTTGCACCTTATGCAAATGAGATCCAAAATAGAATTAACAGTTTATCTAATTGAGTGTCCAATGAAATAAGCTCCTCGTAATTTGGTACAGAAATGTGGGCTCCTTACAATTTGGAGCTTGGATGGAAAGATTGGGCCAGCCAAATTCAAAATATCGTAACCCATGAAATCCCAAACACAAGTTGGGCAGCTCAAGTAAAGAATTACAAGACTGTTTTCAGTGAATACACCAATAGTCACCCATCAAACCAATAGATGTTTAACACATTATGCACTCAATATCTTTTCTCCTTGAATATTATTGCTTAACAATCATATCACCGATCTTTTACAACATTGGAAAGAAAGATACCACTATATTAAGAGCTACTTGATCATAGTATTGATCTTCAAAGGATATGAACGATTTAGCTACATAGGATTATATGAAGTCTCATATGTTTTTCAATACAGTGATATTTGAAAATATGACGTATATTAATTTTATCCTTATAGTTATAAACAAAATTTAGGATGACATAATGTTAATTTGGACACTTTTCCATGTCGGTTTATATATTTAATTCATTGCAAAACATATGCATTCATCATTGCGCACCAGTATGCCGAAGGTTACAGATCACAACAGGCCTCAAAATGATGAGACATTGACAGGCTCCAAAAATATATTGCATGATTGCGATTGTAACAAAGAAACAATATGGTTAGTACAAATTGGTTAGGATATTTTCAGCTAAATTTATTTGGTCCCTCAATTGTATATTAATGTATTTGTTTGATGATGACAGAATAGAGTAATCCAATGCTTAGAGATTCAGCAAAGATACTCGTAAGGCCAAGTAGGAAGCCCACACGAAATCTTTCTTTACAGGAGTATTCTGCTTAAATATATAAATTTCAAACTAACATAGAGATGTATATATTTATTATTGTCTGTTTTATGGTTTAAATATCAATATACAAGCCTATACGGTTCGTACAAATTTATAATATGAATTTTTTTTTTTAATACAAGCGATAATTTAAACTAAAAGGGAATTAGGGTTTCTCTCTCTCTCTCTCTCTCTCTCTCTCTCTCTCTCTCACACACACACACACCTACCAAAGTGCTATCGGGGATCGAACCTGAGACCACTTATCTACAAATTAAGGTTGTTTTTCATTAGACTAGACGCCGTTGACTGTTTAGGAACTTTTAAGCTACAATAATTTGCTTCTTTAGGTGTTCGATATATATAACATAGAGATTTATTATATGTAATACTCAGATTCAGACATCACCAAAGATTCTTAAACTTACAATTACAGGACAAATTAGGAAGAAGGCCACACGAAATCTCTTGTCACTGTGACACGAGCAATGCCTACTTTCATCTTCATGGTGGTTGCGGTGTTTCACCTCCACTTCATATGCAAACACAAAGGTGTTCGTCATGCCACACGTACATCCATTTGGCATCCATATATCGTATTAAATCCAAAAACTACATGCACGATTCCGTTTCTTAATATTAAGTGGTGTCTGATTGCTGGAAAAGAAAAAGAATGAGTAAAAAAATGGGATATGTTTTTTTATTTAGTTAAAGTTTGGTATAGAGTCTTAGTCTGAGACCCAAACCATGTGGCTCGGGTGGGTTCAAGTTAGGGGTACAAGAGGAGGTATAAAACAAGTGATAGATAGAGAAGTTTCTCTCTAATTTTATGATATGATTATGGGACTCGGGATCTTTATGCATACATTTAATTTGAAGTTTCTCTCTAATGTAAACTTTTGCAGGATTGGAATTTGGAGTGACATGCTCATTCCATTGTTTTGGGAGGAAGCAAAGAGAATGCTCAATATTCCATCTCCAATGAACCAAATATGAGAGAATAACAGACCAGAGTGTATATACTTTGTCACCAAGTTGAATTAAGAATGCATATTTGTGGATCTACGAGTCTCTGAAAGCTTTGGTCAACTTAGACAAGTCGGTCCAACCGTCCCAAGTCCAGAGATTTTCTAGTCTCCTCATTAGGCGCCTCATTATTTTCTAAAAAATAAACAAACGAAAAGAAAAGAAAAGAAAATTCATAGCCTCCTACAAGATTCCAAATTGAAAGGCCAAGCAACCCATGTAAAGCTATAAGTCCAAAAGCCAACAGAGCAGAAACAAAAATATTTAACTACTTAACACCTGTTTGTCTAAATTAAGTAGCCATTTATTTGTCACAGGCTGAGAGAGAGAGAGAGAGAGAGAGAGAGAGAGAGAGAGTCTATCTAAAGAAACAGTTGGCATACAACTGCCACCCCAACCCAACAACACAAAGATTCTTTCTCTGGTGACAAAAAAAGAAAAATACAAGACAGACAAGTGATGTAAAATATATTGTTGCCAACATGTTTTTGTTAGATGGTAACAAAATATAACAGACATCCTGCAAAAACCTGAACCTCTGAGATCCAAATCATTTGAGTTCACTAAAACAATTGCTTAGTGCACAGCTTATTTATGCTGTCATTAGGTAAAAGTTGGCAACTAGGCATGCTTAGTACGCTAATGGGTGCACTGATCACCCACCATTGGATTGGACCCACAATGAGATTCTATAGGATTCTATCAAATGATCCCAGCCGTTGAACCCAGATATCTGATTTTCTCTAACCTAATTTCCAAGGTTTGAAATTGTCAAAATGTTGAGTTGGTCCCCTCCACCCCTCACAACACAACAGAGAGAGAAGGGAAAGCAAGAGAAAAAGTAGAAATCCATTAGCAAGAGATTATGTCATTTTGGAATATTTAAAGTACACCTTGACTCAATCATACCAAGTAAAATAAGAATTAGAAAGCCAAATTAAACAACAATTAAAAAGATTTTTTATAAAAAAATTAAAAAAAAATTAAAAGAAAGAAAAGAAAAAGGAGATTCGAAGGGCCAATCCCACATCGGAAAGGAGGTAAAATTTGTCAAAAGGGTAGGGAAGCTGCCGCCAGTGGCCTTTGTCCAACTTTGCCTTGGCTCTTACGCCTCTCTGTCAGCCTCGCTGGTCAAGTGTGTGTGTGTGCGTAGGTGACCCTTTCTGTCCACTCCACACCAAACTTTAGTCTTAAGCACCACCACCCTGGCTTGTGGCTTGGCTGTCCACAAGGACAAGGGATGGGCTTAAATTTCCCATTTACTTCTTCACCACTTTGAAACCTTCTCATACTCTTTAGTCTTTTCAGTCTCTTGGCCCTAGCTTGCATGTTTTTCAACACTTTGTTTATTTGCAACTCGCAAGACCACACATTGTAAATTTGTTCGCAATTGGTAGAAAGATCGTTCTGTCACAGTAATTATCACATCCCTCAGGATTATAGCGGATGTGATATGTGTCAAATTGATACAATAGTTACATATTTAGTTACTTGTAGCAACAACATGTTGTAAGTGGGATGTCGTAAACAAAAATTTAAGCGATATCTCATCTACATTGTAGGATGCATTTTTTGATCTATGCAGTTAATACATTCTACGGTGTTCATCGTTTGAGATTATCAAGTGATGTAGGGCAAATTATAAGCTTGTTCCTATGAAGGAATTTAGAAAACAAACAAAAATTAAAATCAGAAAATTGGTCAAATAAGGAAAATCATGCTTGAGCATCAATTATGGAGCTAGGAAAAGAAGGAAGGCGTATCGTTAAGATTTTCATATTGATTGAGGAAATTTGTATCAATAATGGATTCTATCAAGATTTATATTTAATGTAATGTTTTGTTTTATATTTTTAGAATAAGTTATCTATTAGGATATTATTTTCTTAATATGATTTTAACTATAATTTTAATTATTTCCTTGCTAGTTAAAATTTATTGTAACTACAAACAAAAATGATGTTAAATTAATAAAATCCAATATGTGCAATGAAGACTGCGTTATAAATATAATATATTTACATAAAAATGCCATTTTTCTCTTCTTAAAAAAAATGTCATTTTTTTCCCAATATTGTAACTGATTCCACATACAAATTAAACTCGGCAAAAAGGTGCTCGATAGAATGACCAATAACCTAAATATATGTTGACACATATGCATTTGTATATGTATATTTTTTGGTTGAAAAAGATAGGCATATGTGTTCTACTATGCATAATCATGTTCTCTTTTTACCAGTGCATTATGTGCTTGCGTGTAGCCCATGTGAATGGGTTAAAAAAGGTGGGTTGAAGTTGTCCGTCTACCAACATTGCAACATTGCAACATAGCAAAATGGACCTAAATTCGAATCCCTATATGATAAAGAAAATGCAAGAAGTTCTATTTGTACTCTCCTCTCGTGAAATGCACTTTCGAGAGAACTTATATGCGTTATGAATTGTTAGCTAAGTTTTTATCTTAAAAGGTATCGGTACAACTTAAAAGGATATTTCACTTAATACACTCATTAATGTTATAGACAATTTCTTATTTGATGTGAGAAAATTATACTTGATTGATAATTTCGAACAATCTTCGGTCGTGAAATATCAAATTTTGATTGTCCATTCATTGTCAAATATGTATAATAAAAAATTCACAAAATAGAACCATCTCAATTTCTCATGGGCAACCCCATTTCCCAATCAAAAAGAAAAACAGTATCTAGTTCATTAGAAATGCTATAGAACAATAGTATCTACTTGATTACAATTGGTGAAATAATTGAGCACAGTAAAAAAATTCAAATTGGGATTTCAATAAAAACAAAAGATTTGAAATTCCAATGGGGGAGGATTTAGGATTTAGCAGGTGGGCTGCACATAAACGGGTAGAGACAAGTTTATTTAAAAACAAAAAAATTTAAGACACACCGCATTTCATTCAGTAAAGTAGAATTGCACAATATCTCTTTATCAGTGGTTGGCAGTTGGGTCATTTCAACCAAAAGCTTTTCCAATTCTTTTTTATTTTCTTTTTTCCTTTCTTTTTTTTAATTTCTTTTTTATTGTTTTGTTCA